GTGCGCCATACTTGTTAGTTTCATACCCGAGAGCAACAAATAGTTACAGCACTAGCAAGTCCACATGTTTGCAGGAATAAATATTGATGCATGTGTGTGTAAAGCTAGATAACGTTTTGTTTTTTTGTGTATTACTTTTGCTTTTCAATTAAAAAGCAGTTAAAAATGCTACATGTTTTATCACCGAAAGAGATTCACACAGATCACTGAACCCACTTATAGGCCAGTGCTTCGACACGTTCACACATTCTTGACAGAAAACATCAGATGCTTGTACCTCATACGTATTTTTTGTTATGCACATTCAGTTGTTCGTATCTGCACGCAAAGAGGGAGTTAAAAAAACATCAGTTATGAATGTTTTGGAACGTGTACCTTGAATAAAGTACAATGAATGGATTAATATCGTTATGTTAGGATATAGATATATTTAGTATATATATATATATATATACATACGTATCTAACAGCTCTTTACACTTCATTCTATAGTACTTATAAAAATATAAGGTCGTAAGTGTAAAATTTTCTTGGTTTACTGATTTTTGTTGAAGAAAAAGCGAACAAAAGCTGGCTTTCCTACATTGCACTTTAGACTGAACCTCGTCTGCTTTTTAGTGCCTCTAATTGAAACAAACTAAACTCCTTGAAGGTTTTGATTTCATCATCATGTTCCATAAGTTTAAAACCTGCATCATTCGGGTTCTAAGACCAAAGATAGAATATCCTGTCCTTTAATGCTCGTTTTTGATTTGATCACCACGTACCATAAGTTTGAAACCTGTATCATTCGGGTTCTAAGACCAAAAATAGAATATCCTGTCCTTTAATGCTCGTTTTTGATTTGATCACCATGTACCATAAGTTTGAAACCTGCATTATTCGGGTTCTGTGGAAACTAAAGATAGAATATCCTGTCCTTTAATGCTCGTTTTCGATTTGATCACCACGTACCATAAGTTTGAAACCTGCATTATTCGGATTCTAAGACCAAAGATAGAATATCCTGTCCTTTAATGCTCGTTTTCGATTTGATCACTATATACCATAAGTTTGAAACCTGTATTATTCAGGTTCTGAGGAAACCAAAGATAGAATATTCCGTTCTTTAATGGCCGTTTTCGAACAGAAGAAAGGAATTCAATATGTTATATAAAGGAATTTAAAGTGTCAACTAAAAATAATAGTGAGTACAAATTAAAAGTTCTAAATTTTATGTTTTTACATGAAAGAAACAATTGTTAAAAATATATTTACACCTTTAATTTTATGTTTTTACTTGAAAGAAACAATTATTAAAAATATATTTACACCTTTAATTTTATGTTTTTACATGAAAGAAACAATTATTAAAAATATATTTACACCTTTAATTTTATATTTTTGCTTGAAAGAAACAATTATTAAAAATATATTTACACCTTTAATTTTATATTTTTGCTTGAAAGAAACAATTATTAAAAATATATTTACACCTTTAATTTTATGTTTTTACATGAAAGAAACATTTATTAAAAATATATTTAAACCTTTAATTTTATGTTTTTACTTGAAAGAAACATTTATTAAAAATATATTTAAACCTTTACTTGATATTATTTTCTTAATCTAAGTGAAAAAACAACAATAACCTATTTCAATTCTATTATCTATCTGACTATGATAGACTACTTCAAAATATATGTACATTTTTTCTTTCTCAACTCGATGACCTTCAGCGGATACATGGTAACAGATAACATTAACTTATAGATATGACAAAAATATTACAGTAATTTGAATTTTTAACCCATTCGCTAGTGATTTTACATATGCAACTAATTAGTTTATACACGTAGATGTTTGCTCGTGTTGCTTTAGATAATCATGTTACTGTAAATAAAATAAATTTGCGTTATTCTGTAGATACGGTAGTTATAGTTCTATTTTGCAGTAAACGCGCACGGATTACTATTACAGGAAGGGAAAATGTAGTCAGTAATAGTTGTACATTGAGCATTGACATAGATAATAGGCTAACATAGATTATTTCTGGTTATTTTTAAGTTCCACTTAAACTATTATAAGTTGAGGTTTCGCATTTAGTAACAAGAGAATGTAGCATCGTAAGATAACTTAATTACTTTTAAATAAACCAACAAAACATATTTATATGATTATTTCTGTTAGCTTCGTAGCTTGTTTTTCTAGGTTGTGTTTTTGTTTAATATCGTCTCGAAGCTTCTCTGTTGTTTTAGTTTTTCAGAATTTTTATTCACGAGGTAAGTCTTCGGATTTACAACGCGTAAATCAGGGGTCGATTCCCCTTGGTGGGCACAGCAGATAACCCGATGTGGCTTTGCTAGAAGAAAAACACGCGCTACACAAGGTCTAACTTGCGCATAGCCGTCCCTAATTTGTAACTGATAGACAAGAGGGAAGGCAGCTAGTCAACATCTCCTACTGCCTGCACTTCTGCTGCTCATGTCATCTCTTCGGCTACTCTTGTGTAATCGAATCATCTCTCTTGTAGAGGAAAATGTTTACGGCAACAGGACGCGAACAATGAACCCGTGGATTCACAGTCCGAGCACGTTAATCAGTAGCTTACGACCGGTCTCTCATCATGACTTTACAGAACTAAACTTTATACTAAGATATACAACTACTAACTTAATGTGTGTGCACAATACTTGTTTAGTTACTTTTATTTTACAAACACGTGTCTCCAAATATTTTTTAGGTCAACAGTTTTCTCCCTTATTCATTGTGAGTTTCAATTCTTACAAGAGCGTGATTTCGCTGTTAAAATATTTTATTTGTTTGGCACAGGCTCATATGTTTTGTATTTTTTCAGAATGAAATTCTTAACTTGATATTACAGTAAAAAGTGTTTTCTTCCCGAGTCTTGAAGCTATTTTGTGTTAGTCATGACGTAATCAAAAACTACGAGTTTAAGATTTTTTCGCGAAACTTATGTTAAGAAAACAGGCGGAATTTATAGTGAAAAAAATGTTGGGGATTAGACAGAGAGAGAGAGTAAAAAGACAGAGAGAAAAGAACGATTAGTCTAATACTAATATTTGCCGAAATACTTATGTCGTATTCGGAAGTGCATCCGTCTAGCAGTTTAAGTTCAGACGTGATTTTAAATTCCTCGAAGTAGTCAGAAAAAAAAGACGTAAATCTGCCCCTGGAAACTTTCTTTATGAAACATGATTTATGTAGTTGTTGATCATCAAGATATCCCCCTGTAAAAATGTTTTCTCTGTTAGTGAACCTTTAAGGAGGGGGATGAAGTAAAAACGAACAGTAGCAGAAACGTATAAGCAAGTAGAAATAACGAAGTGCATGCTAATGGCTTTTAATAAGACCAATCGATTCTTATCTAAGTTTTAAACACTAACACCGTACATGACACATCCTCAGCAATTGGTTAAAAAAACTGAAGTGGATTTGATTATTCATTCAACATTCGAAAAGTGAAGTGCTTATACATTTTCAAGGTAATCGGGAACGGTTGCTGCAACAACGTAAAAAACAGGATTTTGAAACTGAAGAATAAATACTCAATGAAATTATGACAACTCAACACGGATTTTGAAACTAAAGAATAAATACTCAATGAAATTATGACAACTCAACACAGATTTTGAAACTAAAGAATAAATACTCAATGAAATTATGACAAGTTAACACAGATTTTGAAACTGAAGAATAAATACTCAATGAAATTATGACAACTCAACACAGATTTTGAAACTAAAGAATAAATACTCAATGAAATTATGACAACTCAACACAGATTTTGAAACTGAAGAATAAATACTCAATGAAATTATGACAACTTAACACAGATTTTGAAACTAAAGAATAAATACTCAATGAAATTATGACAACTCAACACGGATTTTGAAACTAAAGAATAAATACTCAATGAAATTATGACAACTCAACACAGATCTTGAAACTAAAGAATAAATACTCAATGTAATTATGACAACTCAACACGGATTTTGAAACTGAAGAATAAATACTCAATGAAATTATGACAACTCAACACAGATCTTGAAACTAAAGAATAAATACTCAATGAAATTATGACAACTCAACTCAGATTTTGAAACTGAAGAATAAATACTCAATGAAATTATGACAACTCATCTTTTAAGAGACCAGAAGTTGTATATAAGTTCGCAAATTCTACTTCTGATAAATTATTACCCCATCTGATATTTCATAAATACAGATGAAACAGTTTTATTAATAAAGCTATTTCGCGTATTGCGATTAGTATAAAACAGCGTAGTGAATCTCTTTAAATATACAAAGTTCGTTCACATACACTAGATATTAAGGTTCCTTAGAGCTCAATGAACATATTTAATTGTTGTATGGAGTTAATTTGTGTAAACGTATTAGAATATGTATCAGTTTTAGGAAGATACTGTACGTCAAATTATAAGTCACTTTTTTTACACGAACAATAAGTACATTAAGTTTTCTCGAACCACATTATAACTTTACAAATTAAGCAGAAGAACAGTGAGCATGTCTTACCTCTCTATCGTAACTCTGGAATGCTTAACAAATGTATAGATTAGGTTACTCTAAAAATGTCCTCTTTCAAATCACAAGTTTGTTTCCTAAAATTATACTCACGACAATAGTTGTGCCTGTCGTTTAGTCCTTTAAAAGGAGATGTAGGATTTTAGCTATTTGTACTTAATCAGTTACTATGGAAATCAGTAAAGAAGTCCAATGTCTTCATTAGAAAGTTTGACAAGAACTTTAAGTCTAAGACTGGTAGAATGTGAGCATAAATTTGACTAGAACTTTAAGTCTAAGACTGATAGAATGTGAGCATAAATTTGACTAGAACTTTAAGTCTAAGACTGATAGAATGTGAGCATAAGTTTGACTAGAACTTTAAGTCTAAGACTGGTAGAACGTGAGCATAAGTTTGACAAGAACTTTAAGTCTAAGACTGATAGAATGTGAACAAGAAATCGTTTACTTACTTACACAGTGTTGTCCGTCATCCAGTTAAGTTGGGCATTCGCAGACAAACTAAGGCTACACAAGGATTCATGGGCAGTACAAAAGCACGTGCTATTACTCGGACATCGAAATACTATTATTTAGAAAGATGATCACCCCTCCCCCTCTAAAAAAAGTTGATAACACGTCCAACGAGGTTTAGAATCGAAACTTTTTTCAGAGATTACGAAGAAAGGTGTAACTAAGTGATAGTTCTTGGGAAAGGCAATTATATTTCTTGTGCGTTGAACTGGAACAAAATTATCTAAGCTGTACCAGTTCCGCAGGGTTCAGAGGTCAGGGGTAGAAAACCTCCTCGTGTGAAGGCATGTCAGCAGCTACATGCAGCCCTGTTTGTTTGTCATGGCAGTCGCTTGGCCTCCCGGTCTCCTGTGCCGGGTTAGCCTCTTCTCCGCGAAGCATAAACCTAAATACGTCATCTGCTCAGAAGAGCTCAGCGTTTCTGATATGCCTGAATGTTCGTGTAGTGCTGGCCTTCTGGGAAGACCGGAGATTTGCTGCTAGCGTGTACTATACAAGTTGTACTCACAATCTAAATTTTGTTGTAATTAATTTATTCCTGATATATCCGAGAGTTTTCCGGTTCATTTTTAACTGAAATTTTCTGTTAGCCAAACATAAACTTTGCACGCATTTTGCTCAAAATCAGAAGGAAAAAAAAAAGAGCTTGGATTGAATAGCAAGAGGAAATTCTTCTTATTTTACAATATCCATATTCACTACACGCTCGTGATCACTTATTGGTCATATAAACAGCTGCTCTACTCTGATCCTGCTACTAGACGGCCTTCCCCCAAATCAGCACACCAAAGTGCACGCCTTACCTCCGACTTTGAACAAAATTTTAACGTCTTCACCGCTAGGCGGCTTCTCACCACAGCATCAGTAAGAACGCGGCTTACCTCTGCCTTCAAGCACAACAAGAATGTTTGATCGATCCGTTACACAGGGAAAAAAGACTAATCCACTTTCTAAAACAGGGGGAAAGGGGTATACAGATTAGCTCTATTAACAATTACGTGCATGTATGATCCAAAATCCGAGTTATGAAAATGTCCCCTTTAATAGTTTTTGAACAATACCAATATTTCGATATAACTTCATAACGGTACCATCACAAGTTGACTTCATTTTTTTAAATGTTCAAAATGTATACAGGTAATCTTAGCTGGCATGCTATGAGCAGTTTTCGAACTGGTTGTAAATTCTGGTAATTATTTGCGAAACTACAGAGACTAAAAAGTACTTAACATTTAATCTTGTAAAAAATAATAAGCTTCGAATCCTCTCTTTTTGAATTTTTGCTTGGATTTTTTTTACTCAAGCGACGAAGAAAAACAGTTAAAGATATATATATATATGTTCAATAATATTATGTATCTTAGCATCTTGAAAAGGAGCGTTAAATTGGGAGATTATTTTATTTTCGAAGCTCCGTTTTGAACAAAAAACATTTTTTTACATCCAACCAGAATTCGATGTTCTTCTACCTGGGTAAATTGAGTCAGAGAAGCCCTCCATCGGGCACAGCCAATGGACCAGGTTGGTATTGAGTAATTTTGAGTGTGTAGTATGGATTATTAAAATCCTTTATTTGGTGGTGAGCAACAATCGAGAAATAGGGCTTCTGTCAAAAACTATTGCTTCTTAAAGTCGTTTAATAAATTGCTCAATTATTATAGGCTGAAAATTTCATTATGTTTATTCTGTTTGAATGGATTTAAAGGTATCATGGTGTTGCTGTTGAACTAGAAATGTAGCTAACCGTATAAAACGACTCCCCCCCCCCCAAATGCCCATGTATTCATTCTTCGGCATTAAAAATTAAGAAAATTAAGAAAATAAATAAATTAATGACTACATTATTCATACGTAAAATTAAGTAAGTTTATATTTAACTTACAAACATAAAGTATTGTTTATAAGGTTAAACACTAGTAAATAAATCGTTTAATATATTACGTACAACGGAGAACCCATTTTTCAGGATTCTTCTGTGAAACGCAAAGCTACGCAATGGGCTATTTGTGTTGTGCCCTCCACTAGTATTGAAACCCTGTTTTTAGCGGTTTGAGCCCTCAGACTTACTGCTGAGCTACTTGAGTCAGGATACATATTATATTAATATAATAATAGGTAGGCAAACAATGACCATACGTGAAGAAGACAGACCAATGTTCTGTCGAAACATGTAGTATGTTCCACCATCAATAAAACTTTTCCTTATGCTTATAAATCGTTCTTTGCCTACCTATTATTAACCTCAGTATATATATATATGTGGCAATTTTGGAAGTTAATCAAGGGCTGATGTTCAGTGCTAATACCATTAAATTGTATTATAACTATTTTGGAAGTTAATCAAGGGCTGATGTTCAGTGCTAATATCATTAAATTGTATTATAACTAACACAATCGTAGGCGTTATCCAGTTATTTAACTTTTTGTTTTCAACATTATTCACAAATAATTCAATTGAACAAAATATGCACCTTATTTCAAACTGCATTTACTGATAATTACTTTACGAATACAGTTTGTCCTATTTTACAATTTTTAATCAATTCCGAGACAGCATATTCTATATATGTATGGTGTCTCAGTTAGTTTTCTCAGCTACGTACATTTAACGTCAGCTACAAAGAGAATTTTAGCTATTTTTTTTTCGTCTTATTTAATGCGACAGTTGGTTGATCAAATGGAA